TTATTTTAAAAATAAATTTATTGTTGGGTAGCACTATGCACAGCAGTAAGCGATTTCAGTGGGTTGTTTTCTAAGAGGAAGGAGGCAAAGTAAAAAGGTTTTAAGTGCTAGAACAGAAGAGGACTATGGCAAATGGAGATAATGACAAAGATTGAAAATTTGCTCACTGGGTAGGGTGGATGCATCTGTATATCTATACATGATTAGTTAAAATAAGTCCCATATTTCCTTGATCAGGAAAGAACTTTCAGTTAAATTCACTAAGAATCTGACTTAGCAGGATTATTTACATGACATGGTTCTTTAGATATGAGGGTTAGAACAGTTGAAGTGAAGCACAGCATTTATCAAAGGGCAATGCAAGTTGACAATTTTCATTTTACACCATCAAACCTTCCACACATGAATCTTCTTGGCAATGCAGAAGATGTTTATCAAAGTTGTAGTCAGTAAAACAATGGGATACACAAATACACACATACCTACTGAGATGAATCAATGTAGTTAATCAATAACCAATAGAAAAAACTAGAATCATCAAAGGATGTGTATTATCAGAGCTAAAACTTGATGTATGAATGAGTAAATAGGTTTGTATCAAATTGAAAAATTTCCTTTAAAAACTAGAATTACTAAGTCTTCTTCATTGTTCTTTATTTCAGAAGAATTTAGATGCAATGTCTTGTTTTCTCTAATTTACTACCCCAACACCTTTCCAAAACATATAGAAATCAATGGAAGCTTTGCCAGGAATTGTGACTCTTTGGACATTGTTATTAAGCTGCTATATTTGCCTTGCTTCATGAAAAATCTCAAAACTTTCCACAGATGTCACTTTACCCTCTTTTCTAGAGTAAGAGTTGACTTAAATTTATGTCTCCCACACTCTTTGAAATCACAAAGCATATGTTTTCATTTTTCTATTCCCAGCACCTAACACCATGTAAGTTACCATGTCAAGGTGGCCACATCAAAATTATTTGAAGGAATCAGGTTTGGATAGGTCTGAGAAAATTGAACTGGTTTAGAATAACCCATGTGGAAATGGAAAAGAATGATGATGACAGGAAAGTCAGATTCATTGAGCAGTGTATTCATTGATCATCCATGAGACTACTCTTAGATTTTCTCCCTGGGTTACTATGTTAATTATAAAAATATAAAATCTTCAGAGTAAGCTTTTGTTGTAGAAAAAAATGAGCCACATTACTGATTAATTCTTACTAATAGTTTTCTATTTTTTATTTAAACTACTTAAAAAGATAATGATCCTTCCAAGGCACTACAGTAGTTCTCTGTTCATCTGAAACAACTGAGGAAGGAGAGTCAGGAATAGGAGGAAGACATGGAACGTGTGGCAAACTGCTTCCATGAACAGCTGCCTCTTTTGCCATGAAATCAGAACTGGTTGGTGCCCCCTACCATTACCATAGTAATCGTGATCCAAAAGGGAAATACAGAACAGAATTTCAAATTCTCATGGATTCTAGACTTACTGGATTCATGAAGCTTCAATGAATCCCTGAAACTATTGCTCTGAGGTAATCTGTAAATCTTAAACCAAAAATATCTCCTGAAATCATCTTAAAGCTAAACAATAGTTTAGCTTAACTGAAGGGGAAAAAAAAAAAAAAAGGTCTGCTTTGAGCATGATGCTCTTTTGAAAACTATTTACATGGGATCAAATTGACAACAACAACTGTAAAGATTAGACAGGAACCTTAGGAAGCAGTGGATTTATGTTAACAAGTGAGAAGAAACTCAGAAAAGGAAGGTGAGAATGATCACACAACTCAAAGAATGCCGTAAGTGTTCCTGAATTGCTTATGTAGAAACTGTTGAATTGGTGTATGTTTCCCTATGTATATTCTCAACAACATCAAAATAAATAAAACTTAGAAATAAAAAAGATAATGTTTTCTGTCAACATAGACTTATGCCTATAAAAAGTCTTAGTGTGTTATCTATCAGCCAAGTAGTTGCATCATTTGTTATTTTTAGGCCACATGCCTTTCTTGATAAAATCATCTCAGGTTTCTTGATTAATTTAGTAAAAACAAATTAAAAATAAATCTGTCACACGTGAAACAGATTATGGAAAGAGAAGCTGATGTCAGAACTTGTCCAGGGCAGATTTAGGGAGAAATTATAGGTAGATAAAGAAGGTTGTAATATCTGATAGTGGAGAAATTGTTTGAATAAAATGAAATGATTTACAATAAAATAAAAGTAAATTAAACCACATGGCTGTAACTGTCTCCTCTTGATTCACATTTTCATTAATCACAGAATTTGAAGGATAGAGCCTCAAGAGTAGAACATTAAGGCTAAAATACTAGTTGTGAAAATAGTTAACAATATGACTGTGGGAAAGGAGGAGCATAGACTCTCATAGTAGTAGTTTCTATACTTCTTTCTTGATATAAGAGTAAGTGACATAATATATATAAAGTGATATGAGGATTAGGTACAGTATACTAATCTTGGCATAAAATTTACCTGTTTCTCAAGAAAAATTTTATGAAATTTCAGCAACTCAACTTTTGGACACTTAGCAACCTGAACTACCCATATTTTGTGATGTCACCATTTCAAAAGATAGTTTCTAGGTCTCATAGTTCTTATATACTTCTGCCTGGAAGACATTCACTTGATATATCCTTTTGGTCAGTTCTAATCCCATATCCTCCTTGTTGGAGACCAAGAGAGAAATCATCAAAGGACATGAGTGCAAGGCACATGTCCAACAGTTACAAGAGAAGGCAAGATTGTTAATTTTAACTTTGTAGAGAGTAAGTTGATTGTATGGATTCCAAGAGTGATGATGTAATCATGTATAAATATATAAATACAGTAGAACAAAGGCATCAGGGGTCACTCTCGTAGAATATGCAGGGCATCCTCCTGGCCCCCGTTCCTTTTAAAAAACTATTAATCCTTTTTTGTCACTTCGTTTCGTGACCTGACAAGGCACCTCCTCACTCACTTCAAGGAATCTGAAATGTAAAGAGGGACGTTTGGATATTCAGTGAACAGTGATTGTCTTTGCCAATGCCACTTAGTTTTGTATGGTCTAGACAAATTTTCTTAATCTCAATTGCCTATCTGTAATAGAAGATTAATTATATACTGGGCCAAGTTTTCAATGTGATCTTAAAGAAGACTGAACTGGCTTCATTATGCACCATTGAATGAGCTTTGGCAACTTCCTGAATTTTCCTCAGTCTCTGTCTTTCTCTAATATGAGAATAATTCTATTGAGATGATTGAATAACATTAAATGCTTTAGTTCCTTGCCAGGGATTAGATTGCTCAAAAACTGTAATCTCTATGATTGGAGTCCTTGGGTGGTGGAAACAGTTAACTAGCTTCCTGCTGAATGAAAGATTGACAGTTCAGTTCTCCACAGAGGTGCCTCAAAAGAAAGGCCTGGCTATCTACTTCTGAAACATTACCCATTGAAAACCCTATGGAGCACAGTTTAACTCTGACATGCCTGGGGTAACAAAGAGCCAGACTCAACTAATAAAAGCTTGTATATCCAAGCTATTGAATTAAATTAACATAATTAAGTGTTGTTGTTGTTGTTGTTAAGTGCCATCGAGTTGTTTCTGACTCATAGCGACCCCATGCAGAGCAGAACGAAACACTGCCCCGATCCTGCGCCAGCCCCACAATCCCTGCTATACTTGAGCCCATCATCGCAGCCACTATGTCAATCCATCTCGTTGAAGGCCTCCCCCTCTTTCATCGACCCTCACCCTACCAAGCATGACATCCTTCTCCAGGGAATGGTCCCTTCTTACAACATGACCAAAATAGGTGAGACGAAGTCTGGCCATTCTTGCTTCCAAGGAGCATTCTGGCTGCACTTCCTCCAGGACAGATCTGTTAGTTCTTTTAGCAGTCCATGGTACTTTCAGCATTCTTCGCCAGGACCACAACTCAAAAGCATCAACTCTTCTTTGGTCTTCCTTATTCATTGTCCAGCTCTCACATGCATACCAGGTGATTGGAAATATCATGGCTTGTGTCAGGTGCACCTTAGTCCTCAAGGAGATATCCTTGCTCCTCAGCACTTGAAACAGTTCCTTCGCAGTTGACTTTCCCAATGCTACATGTCGTCTAAAGTCCTGACTGCTGCTTCCGTTGGCATCGATTGTAGAACCAAGCAATGTGAATTCTTTGACAACCTCAATCTTCTCTCCATTGATTGTGATGCTGCTCATTGGTCCAGTTGTGAGGATTTTTGTTTTCCTTATGTTGAGATGTAATCCATATTGCAGACTGTATTCTTCAACCTTCATCAGTAGGTGCCTTAAGTCATCCTCACTTTCAGCAAGCAAAGTTGTATCGTCTGCATATCTCAGGTTGTTAATGATTCTTCCTTCAATCCTGATACCACATTTTTCTTCATATATTGTTGTTCATATAGGAAGAAGGAAGAGGCCATCCACTTCTCAAAGAATTGGCCAGGGGAAACCTTATGAAAAGCAAAGACTTAAGTGTTATTCACTGATAATTACAATTATAGCAAGAGAATAAAAATAATATATAATAGATGTGGTCATGCCTATCTTACTTCATAAAAGCATCTAATATTTTACAAGTATTTTGTTTATTTTCCTACACTAAGGTTTGTTATTTGGGGTTTTCTGTATTTGCCTGTGGCTTTCTATTGTAGTTAAAATGTTGTGCATCTAGAAATTGTGCAATAAATTTGGTTGACTGATTGTGTAACAACATAAGGGGCTGTTGGATTTTACAGAACTTGCAAACAAGAAATGTTCTTTGTTTCACGGTAAGTTTAACTTTTACTTTTATTAAATGTACTTTTTTTCTGGTCTCTGGATAGCCTATGAAATGAAAAACTGAGCAGTGAACTTTATTATTCAGGAAGTTAGATAACATGTTACGATAGGGCTAGTGCTTATTGTAATGAATGTTTCCCAAGTGCCTTTGCTGCACAACCGAAGTAGAAAGAACAGAAGGGAAAGGTCATGGGAAGAAACACTCTTTTGTTTCTGATTGTGGGAGTCCTTCTGGCATATTATGTTTATACACCTCTCCCAGATAATATCGAGGAGGCATGGAAACTGGTGTGTTTAACCACATGTATGAAAACCCTAACAAATTTGGTAAGTTCAGAATTTTTTTGACTCTATGAACATTTAGCAGTGTCACCAGCAAGGGAGAAAAAATGCCAGGTTTATTTTATAAAATCTTCACTATCTTAGAATTGTTGTTCTCAAATTTTGCTTGCTGACTTTATGTATTTATCCTTTAATATAAACTCTTCAAGTAATTTTTCATTTTAACTATTAAAGAATGTAATGTGTTGGCTTTGAAAAAGAGGGTCTTATGAGTTACAAGGTATGAATAATGTTAGAATAAAAATATTTGGAGCATGAGCATACTGTAAAGTACTGAATTCAGAAATGGTAGGACTGAGTAGCACTGTGATTAGGAATCTAGGGTTTAAATGCAAAAATGAATTATTTCTTAAATATTTTGTAAACATTGTTATCAAATTAAAAAGAACTGCATTGATATGGTTTGTAGCTGTGCAGGGTGACCTCCTGTGGCGACAGGTTAGCGGGTGAACAAATGCCCCCTTGGTGTTCATGACTGTCCCTCCACAACCCATGGGTCTTCTCTAACAAGAATAACAACAACAACAACAAAAATTCAGGAGCAGATTCTAACACACAGTGAAACTGTAAGACTGAGTAGAAGTGCCGAAAAGGGTCTTGAAGTCTTAATTCTTTACAAAATTCTTTACAGAAGCAGACCATTACATGTTTCTCCTGTGCAGTGGCTGGTAGATTCAAGCCACTGAACTTGTAGTTGGTAGCTAAGCACTTTAAACACTGAGGCACCAGGTCTCCTCAGGTTCTTCTCTAATGAGGCTAATTGCATGGCAATAAACCCATGGGTTTATTGGGTGTCTTTTAACCTTTCCAATAGCAATTGCCTTCCTGCAGCATCTGAAGGCCAGTTTTCTAAGGGGTGCCAAGCAATTATTTTCTTGGGAAGGAAAATATTAGTAGTGAATTTAAAAATCAATAGCTGCACAGTAAGACCGGATAAATATTGCCATACTTGGAGAGTTGACTACTACACTAGGCAGTCCACCCAGTTTTGTTGTTGTTTTTTTTAATTTTCTTTTAATGTTTTTAGGAACAACAACAACAAAAAAAGCATACATATTAAGGCAAGAAATCTGATTCTCATTTAAGTCCCTGTTGAAACCATTTCCATTAGCCACTTTCTTTAAATGCATATCTTTATTAGTGCTTCAAGAAAGTATATGCAGTTAGCACCATGATTGTTTTTTAATTTCTCATCCTTATGCATATAAAAGATAGCCTAGTAGCTTCTTAATTCTGAATTGCTTTTTTAATTTTTTTCACTTACTATCTCCTAGAGATTATTTTTTATCATTACACAGAAAGGTCCTCATTCACTTTTTAAAAATATAGAGTATGAATGTGTATAGTTCTTTTTTTCTTTTAGCTAGAATTTTATTGAAAAGCAAGTAGATGCTTCCAGACTTCTGATAATATAAGTGATATTATCATTAGTAGCCAAATGTATTTTTTTATTTCACATGTGTATAGGTGTTTGTAGGAGCTCTGGTAGCATAGTGGCTAAGACACTTGCCTGCTCACCTGCACTCCTCGGAAGGAAGGTTGGGCAATCCTACTTCCGTAGTGATACTGACTCGGAAACCCAAGGAGGGGTTGCTATGAATCAGGGCCGACTCGACGGCACATAACAACAACAACAACATAGGTGTTTATATCAAATTGTGTTCCACAAAAATACATTTTTTAAAAAATTCTAACCTCTATGCTATGGTTATAATCCCATTTGGGAGTGGGTTGTCTGTTATGTTAATGAGGCAGGATTATTATAGTATGTAGCTTGAGTCAAACTCTTTTGAGATACAAAAGAGACTAAACAAGCAACCAAGAGAAGCAGAGATGGGGGAAGAGGGATGTTAAGCCACATGAAGATCAACCAGGAGCAGAAGTTGAGAAGAGATGAGAGTCTCCTTCCAGCGCTGACAGAGAAAGCCTTCCCCTAGAACCAGCACCCTGAATTCAGACTTCTAGCCTCCTAAACTGTGAGAGAAAAAAAAATCTGTTTGTTAAAGCTACCATGTGTGGTATATCTGTTATAGCAGCACTAGCTAACACAGACAGAACTTGGTATCAGAAAAATGTGGTACTGCTCTAACACACCTAAAATGGGGAGACAGTTTTGGTAATGGGAGCTTTGGTAGCTTAGTGCCTAAGGCACTTGACTGCTAACCAGATGTCTGGCAGTTCAAACCCACCACCCACTCCTCAGAAAGAAGGTTGGGCAATCTACTTTTGCAATGATACCAGCAATCTACTTTTGCAATGATACCACCCCAGAAACCCAAGGAGGGGTCACTGAGTCAGATTTGACTCAATGGCACATAACAACAACAATAGTAAAAGCCTAGATTGCCTTGAAGAGATGATTCATAGAATTATGGACTTCAAAGATAATTCTGTTCTGGTGAGTGCTCAGAAGGAAGTGAGGAGAGCTATATAGAGGAAGTCTCTGTTGGAATACATATGGTTCCAACAACAGAATATACTGGAAATGTGAATGATAAATATGGTTCTGATGAGGCTTTAAAAGGAAATGTGAACATGTGATTAGACAATGGAGGAAGGATGATACTTTTTATGCAGTGGCAAATAACTTGCCTGAATTATGTTTAAACATTTGGTGGAAGTAGAACTTGTAAATGATGAGCTTGTATATCTGGCTGATGAGATGGTAAAGCAAGATCTTAAGGGAGCTGCACAGTATATCCTTGCTGCTTATAGTAAAATAAGAGGAAAAAGAGATGGACTTAAAAATGAACTGTACAAAATAAGAACAGAATTGAAGATTTGGAAAATTCTGTTGTACAAACTAAGGACATGTGTCCTAGAATATTCACCAAGGATGTAGCTACACAATTCTTTGTTAAAGAGATTAAAGCTGTGTCTGATGGACCTAATTGTATATCACTGCAGAAAATCCATCAGCCTAGTCAGCCTAGTCATCTTCTAGGTTTCCAAGACTGGGATCTACAGACCTGAGTTTATAGCTTTACCAAATAACTTGTATTTTTTCTGATGAATAGGAGTTTTCCTGTGGCTATTCCTTAGACCTCAAATGAATGCTCCCTCCCTTGTTAGGGCAAATACTAATCCTCTTTCAATATTCATATGAAAAGTCACTTATTATTTGAAAATTCCTGCCCATTCCTGATGCCAAGTAACTAATTTATATCCCAGTGGAGCACTACCAAAGAAAGTTGTTTGTGAATGTCTAAGAGACGTGTAGTTATGTTGTTTTATACCTGCTTATGTGTCCCTTTCTCTGATTTCATTCTGAACTCCTTCCCAGTGAAAAATTTGTCTTATTTATATTTGTGCTGAAAGTGTCATAGAATCTGGCAATTGTAATACCTCAATAACTCTTTAAGCATCTCTATTGTGCTTCAGGCACAAAAATATGATAATGAATTTGAACCTCTACTATCATTTACTGTGTCACTGAGTTTCATCTGTGAGAATGTGACACCAGAAAATTGGGGACATACTGAAAAATTTTGTATAATTCTATGTGCATAGACAACTGTTACATCTGATATGTGTAAGTGGTTCAGTTTGACCTCTCCTTTTTTTTTTTTTTTTTAGGCTTTGTTTGCTGAACTACTGGGAATTACCCATTTCATTAACACTGCAACATTCTTTATAAGCTTTCAAGAAGTCCCACCCACATCTGATGAAAACGTGACTGTGACAGAGACAACTTTCAACAGCATTCCTGTCCGTGTATATGTACCAAAGCGAAAGACAGAAACACTAAGAAGGGGGTTATTTTATATTCATGGTGGTGGCTGGTGCTTGGGGAATGCTGGTATGTTACCCTTACTGAGAAACTTAGTTTATCATATAAGAAATATTCCATTCACATTACATCTCCAGCATAGCAACATATATAGTAAATATTATTACAGATAACAAAATATTTCAGGTGTTCAAAATTCATTTCTTTGGTGCTGTATTAGTTTAAAGGAATTATTTTAAATCTGTTTTAAAACAATACCTTATTGTGTTTTAAGTGAAAATTTACACACAAAATTATGTTCCATTTTAAAAATGTCTTCACAAATTATTTGCTATAGGTTATATTTTTCACTGTGTGTCACTGTTCCCATTCATTCTGTCCTGTTTTTAGTATTTCCAGTACTCTAGTTTCTTACCCCCTTACCTTTTCTTCTTTACTGTAGAGTAATTTTTGACCATTTGATCTCATATAGATGATTTTTCAAAGTAGGTCATTACTCATAATTGATATTCTTTATTTTATGAGCCAACCTATTATTTAGTTTTTCTTTTTCCTTTTTTTTTTTTTT